GAGCTTAATTATAAATTAATTCAAAAATAAATAATGGTAAACCCTAAGTGTAGGTTTAGGGTTTGATCTTGATTTGGGTCATGTTTTGTGACCAGTGGGGTGTCAAGATCAATTTAGTTGAGTCACTTAGGTCACAAGCCCTAGGTCAGTAAAGTGTGATTAAGGTTTACTTAATGGATGAGTTCATCCATTAAGAGTAGGACTAGAAATGAAACCTTAAGGAAGTTCTTTTAGAAGGATGTAGGGTCTCTTAGTAACATGTTGTGTTGTCCTTAATGGTAGAATTGGAAGTGGTTTTGTTGGCTTGCAACTATACCGCGAAGAAAAGTTGTACTCAAGGTGTTGTTACATTTCATGTACCGTGAAAGCATCATGTTTACATTATCATCATGTTAAAGCATATGTTATCATTTCGTGTAGAACCCGAGAGTGAAATGATTCTAGTTGAACAAGTGCTGGAAGAGTACCCGGTTGTCGCGGGATTTAGTAATTGTGGTACTGATCCGGAATCTAAGATCGCCAACGAAGGCAAGCCCCGGTTTATGCATTAAACCATTACCTTGTTTACTTTGAAAAGTTTATCACTTATGTTACTTATCGCATCAAGTTGTTTATTCAAATGTTACCTACTTGATGCATTGCCTACCTTGTTAATTGTTTACCATCCTTGAAGATGATTTCATTTACAAAGGCGTAGAATTGCTTAGTATGCTTTATGGTAGGCTTTTCAAAGTAAAAGTTTCGATATAATCAAAGATGACATACTGGCCAAAGAAAGAAAGAAGGAAGGTAGAATGAACTAGAGACTAGTTGGGCGGCTTATCTTGAATGTTGGGTAATGTTGCCGACTATGTCGCTTAAAGGCCACTCATTGTGGATCTTCTGAACGAGACACTTTGTAGTACTAGTCACATACTCCAGTAAGCCTACTTGCTAATCCGATACTGCGAATGCCCACCTTTGGGAGTGGTGAGATGGCGGGAGTAGCGTGTACCCTCGTGGCTTGAATGTGGCCGGATTTGAGGTGTACTGTACTCTCGGGTGGCGTGGAGACGGCTTAGTACGGGAGGATCCGGTAGCGAGGTTGATATATGCAAGATTAAGTTCTACATATGTCGTGTGATCAGGAATCCCCAGCTGGGACTTGAATCAATTCGAATTGCCGATGCTCCGCGGACATGGAGACTCGATTCATTTCGTGAAGCAATGTAGGACTGATGAATTACTAAAACATGAGAAAAAGAATGGAATGAGAAGGATTGGAACATGGGATATGAACACTTGGTTGGAAATAATGAACTAAAGTATTTAGGGGTAAAACTTGAAACTAGGATCAAGAATAGTAAGCTTTTGGCAAAGAATTTTTGAATCTTTCTACATACTTACCTTGACCCAACACCAGCATCCCTAAGACCTTCGCCCTTTTTGGTCGGGTCGGGTCTTGTTGAGTACTTTTGTACTGTGGTTTGTTAACCCTTGTTGTTGGGGGGAGACGCATGCGCAGCTTGTTTTGGTCCCTCTTTGCATGTCGATGTATGAAGTCGATGACGATGAGGAATGATGAATGGCCTTTGGACAAGGCACTAGTTTGTGTGAAATAAATAATGTTAATGTAATATTATCTCGCTACTATGGTTGTATGACACTTATGGTTATGTAAGTTTGAAACAACTGGTTGTAATATTAAACTTAAGTCTTCCGCTTTATTACCTCTGGTATGTATATTGAAAAATGTTGTAATCTGCAATGACTGTGATTGGAATCCTGTTTGAAACGTGGATGATTCGGGTTTTCCGAGGACACCCGACAGACCTGTTAAGTTGTTGGGAACTTGTGTACGCTATCTGAGGTCTGTTGAGACATCGATAGATGCACGTGGGCCCGATTTCTTAGGAGGTTCTGCCACAGCGTTCGGATACATATACGAATACGGATTGACTCAGTTACAGATACGAATAATGAGTATCGAATACGGTATGAATCGGATTCGGAGAAGGTCGGATACAAATATCTATTCAGATATTGAGTAAAAGCAGCATATATATATATCATACGTGCACAAACCATTACACCACTCTATGAGTCCATAATCCATCTAGATTAAGCCGAAAGACTAAAGAGTAAAGCAACAAATAAGATAAAGATACAGATACATCATACATCAAACATCATACAAGCACCAATCTTCGCGGCATGAGTAGAAATAGCCAAGCTCATGGCTTAATGGGTCTCATGGAGTCAAGGTCATGGATTTAAGATCTAAAATCCTTATATAGGCCATTTTTTCATTTGAGAAAGTTTGAACAAAATGTAGTTCAAATTTCACAAGTGTGTGACATAGTTTTAGAAAGTCTATATGAGATTCAAGAATTTGTGACTAGTGTTTGATAAAACTTTCTCAAATGGGAAAATGAGCTATGTAATAATTGTAGATCTTGCTGAGATGATCAAACTTGGTATTCAGAGTTTTTTCATCTGAGGTCATTTAGTGTCTCATTTGAGCAAGTTTGACCAAGTCAAATTTGGTCAAATTAAAAAACAACACTTTGACTCTAGTATTATGAACTCTAAACGACTTCAAATTGAAAAGTTTTGAATACCAAGTTTGTTCAACTCATTAAGATCTACAATTCTTGTTTTGGTCAATTTTCCATTTGAGATAGTTTGGACGGTTCAAATTTGTGATTTTTAATTTTCGATGCTTACAAACTAGTTTTCGGAACCCTAGATTGTCTCAAATTGAAACGTTTTGAATACCAAGTTTGTTCAGCTCATCAAGATCTACAATCCTTATATAGGCTATTTTTTCATTTGAGAAAGTTTGAACAAAATATAGTTCAAATTTCACAAGTGTGACATAGTTTCAGAAAGTCTATAAGATTCAAGAACTTGTGACTAGTGTTTGATAAAACTTTCTCAAATGGGAAAATGAGCTATGTAACAATTGTATATCTTGCTGAGATGATCAAACTTAGTATTCAGAGTTTTTTCATCTGAGGTCATTTAGTGTCTCATTTGAGCAAGTTTGACCAAGTTAAATTTGGTCAAATGAAAAAACAACACTTTGACTCTAGTATTATGAACTCTAAATGACTTTAAATTGAAAAGTTTTGAATACCAAGTTTGTTCAACTCATCAAGATCTACAATTCTTGTTTTGGTCAACTTTCCATTTGAGATAGTTTGGACGGTTCAAATTTGTGATTTTTAAATTTCGACGTTTACAAACTAGTTTTTGGAACCCTAGATTGTCTCAAATTGAAAAGTTTTGAATACCAAGTTTGTTCATCTCATCAAGATCTACAATCCTTATATAGGCCATTTTTCATTTGAGAAAGTTTGAACAAAATATAGTTCAAATTTCACAGGTGTGTGACATAGTTTCAGAAAGTCTATGAGATTCAAGAATTTGTGACTAGTGTTTGACAAAACTTTCTCAAATGGGAAAATGAGCTATGTAATAATTGTAGATCTTGCTGAGATGATCAAACTTGGTATTCAGAGTTTTTTCATCTGAAGTCATTTAGTGTCTCATTTGAGCAAGTTTGACCAAGTTAAATTTGGTCAAATGAAAAAATAACACTTTGACTCTAGTATTATGAACTCTAAATGACTTCAAATTGAAAAGTTTTGAATACCAAGTTTGTTCAACTCATCAAGATCTACAATTGTTGTTTTGGTCAACTTTCCATTTGAGATAGTTTGGATGGTTCAAATTTGTGATTTTTAAATTTTAACGCCTATAAATTAGTTTTCCATTTGAGAAAGTTTGGACGGTTTAAATTTTGAAGCACTAAATGATTTCAAACGAAAAAGTTGTAAACAACAAAGTTTCATAACTTTTTGAGATCTACAATTTTTATTTTGATCATTTCTCCATCCAAAGTCGTTTGAATAATATCCGGATAATATCCGTTTGAAAATATCCGGATATATCCGATACTTAACCGGATTATCCGATATCCGCCGGATATCGATGATATTACATCCGTATTTGATATCCGCCTAAGATATCCGTTTTATTATCCGTATCCGAAAAAATTACGGATATCCGAGTAACTATCTAGATAAGTGTTCATATTTGTTCAGTCGAACGGACGGTCGAATAAATATCCATACCGTTTTCATCCATAGGTTTGAGTATAATTTAGAATTGCTCCATATTTTTTAAGTGACATGATTACCTTGTTTTAGCTACATATTTTCAGATTATGGCCCTGTTCGCTTCTCTTATAATCCGTCTTTTTCAGCTTATTTTTTCACCCGGAATAATATGTTTTTCTCTCACAACAAATTAGCCGGAACAATATTTCGGCTTGTTTTTTCAGCGAAGCGAATGGAGCCATAGTGTTTTTTTGTAATAGTGAATGATTGGCTACCAACAAAATTTTGTGTCACAACATATATTCAAACTTAAATTACCACATTATTATCTTTTCCCGTTCCAATTCCATTATAAAGAGTAGGCATTACCATTACACATGTTTGTTTCTTACTTTCTATAATCAGTACTCTCTATCTTTAAATAAATAGGTTTGTAGCAAGTGTACGCAGGTTAGTATGACAGAGAAAATGTCATACTACCCTTTATTAATAATTGAAATAGTTACACACTTATCAGTAATTATTCTAGTTATGCGGTAATTATAGCATTTACATCCATCCAACTAAAAAAACTCAAGCCTGGATTGACAAATTTGGGAGCGGTAATAAATTTGATAGAACTCCGAGAAAAATAAATGAGTTGCTGGACCATATAGTCCCGTAGAGATCGATTTATTTGTAAATAAATTTTTATGGTTCCATTTCTATTTTCAAATAAAGATCACAATCAAACATTCCAGCTCCGATTACAGTGTAATTTGATTTCATTTCCTTTGCGTTACCACTCGATCAACCAAACACCACCCGGCCCCACCAATCAACCATCTCTCGCCCGGCGTGAACTCAGTTCGGCTCATAGTTCAGTCCAGGGCCGCCGCCTCAGCGTGGGTTTGCGCAATGGCGGAGGACTCCGGCGCCATCCTCCGCCACATCTCCTCCCTCAAGGATATGGTCGACAAGGTCTAGCATCTACTAATCTCCCCCCTTATGTACACTTGTGTGCTTCCGTTTTCTCTAGTACTCGCCGGTGTAGAAGGAATCGATTGAGGGGGCAGTGACGTCGCTGCGCCGCCCAAACCGCCCCGGCTGGACTCCTCCTGGATGAATCGCCTTGCGTGGGTCTGCTGGAACCTCCACCAGCGAGTGTCAACTGCGTTAGGGTTTCGACTCGACTCGAGCTGCAGAGAAACGGGTTGGGGTCTTGGGGGTAATATTTGAGAGTTCAGACTTCAGTTGAGTTGAGTCCAGCTACATTGCTTGCTTCTGCCTTTTATCTGCTGTGTACATCTGACATCTCTGCTCTCTGGTGTTACGGGCCGTGATGCCTTTGGTGGATTTTACGTATTACTTTACCGTTGAAAACTTGTATCAATTTACAGGATTCTGATGCTGCTATAAAATTGAGCTTTCTAATCAACACCTGATTGCCTTGCCTAGGCATGTTTGGTCCACTGCCCATGTTTGGTGATATGATTGGTGTCATATCATATACTTTCATTTAGCATTCCAGGGAAGCCTTGTGGGCCATATTAGTTTGCTTGTTAATCACAAGATTATGTTTTTAAACGAAAATTTTGGTTCCACCATTAAGTTTATAGTTATTGCTGAAGTAACATACATCTTATTGCATGGGAATTGGTAATTAAACTACAAACTAGACAGCTCAAAAATTGTATGTGAATGGATGATCAAACTGTTAACTGTCCTGTGTATGGTGCATCTGATTGAGCATGAAATCTTGCTCATGCTTTACCTTGTATTATGTCGTCCTGAGTGATTATGATTCATGTATAAAACTGAATGATGTTATGCTTTAGAAGGAGAGTCATCTGATTCTGATCCTTGCTGTTTTGTGAATACAATGTAACACAGATGGTCTGGATGATGAGACCTTTGCCTTTATGATAAATCTTCTGAGTTTAGCACAAGCTACAACAATATGAATGGTATGATGTTAGGGTAATTGATGTGGTGTGTGTTGTATTGTTTCTATGAAAGCAAATGTATACCTTCTTGCTGTGAATTAATAGTAATGACTTGCTTGTAGAGAGCTGGATTTTCTATTTTCTTGATCCATGTTGAATACTCCCTCCGTTTCTTTTTATAGGTCTTGCATGCATTTTGAGATACAAATTTTAAAATATTTGACCAAAATTTAACTTTAGAATTTTTCTGATTGTAGAATACAACTTTAGTATCATTGGATTCATATTTGAGAACCCTTTCGTATGGTATTGATCTTATAGTTATGAACTAACAAGATATATTAGTGGCCTAGTTACAGTGTTTGGGAATGCACCAAGTCAAACCACACCTTATATTTTGAAACGGAGGGAATACATGCTTGGTTTTTGTATTCAACTTCTTTTGACACTTACCATGCTGTAACATTCATTATATCCCCTGAATTAGGTCAATGAAGAGATTGAACAAAACATACAAAAGACCAGGGAAATAGAATCAGAGATAGTGCAGCATTCTGAAACCGAAAAGCAATATCTCAACAAGGAGTCTGAGTTGACAAAAGAAGTATCAGTTACTGAGTTTGAACTCAATGGCCTTATCCAAATGGCTGGTAATTATTCCTTTGTTTTCCATTTTCAGCATTGCACACATTTGGAAAATAATCCTGTATCTTTAATGTTTTCTCATTGTTGGTCAACTTTCCTTCATCTGCCTGTATCTATTTCATTTTTCAACAAAGATAGGTCTAAGGTTCCTAAAATGCTACTTCCTGTGTTCACCAAGATGTTTTGCACAATTGACACGGGCAACATGCGACTTCAATTATTACTTTTTATTTGAGTGAAAAAATAATGTTACTTTTCACAACAAGTATAGCGAGTAACAGTTTAACATGACTAAACAAAGAGCTTTTCTTATAGCCACTGGTGAAAGGTAGAGAAGTTTTACTGCACGCCATGGTTTCAAAGGCGACAAGGCAAGCTGGGTACGCCTTATCGCCTAGGTGATGCCTAGGCGACAAGCCGACAAGGTGTAACTAGACCCCCAAGGCGAGCTGGGTCCACCTGGATGCCTAGGCGATGCCTTTGAAACAGGGCTGCATGCTCTCTAAACTTCCATTAATATCAGAACCAGGGGGCTACCTTTTATCTTTTATAGACAACATATTATTCTTCCTTTTTACCAAGTTCACAAATACTGTTATATTCATGTTTATAAGGTGTATGTAGCACAGTGGTAGGGAATTTTTTGAACGCAACACAGTGGTAGCCTGGTAGGGAATACGATGTCCATCCTGAGTTCAACTCCCCTCATAAAAACAAGCCACTCACTGTGCAATTTTCAGTGAAATGCATGGTCCACTGATGGTTGCAGCATAATACGCGGGTACCTACAGGAGCATCCTTGCTGTTAGTAGCACATCCTGAATAACTGGGATTCGGGGCCTTTTCTCAACCGTGCGGAAGAGAATCAATCTTGTTGATGCAATGACTCAGGAGAGGTTTTCACCTAGGGTTCAAGTTTTCTATTCATGTCCATCTTTGTTCAGTAGCTATATGGTAGTATTCAGTGATTCAAGTCTTGAAATTCTTCTACTGTTGCTGCTACTATTTGTTGACCGTGACTAGTCTGTTACTTGCTAATATTGTAGCTCAGTGTGGAACTCATAATGCATCTTTCTAATATAAGTTATGATATTCTCTATCACCCTACAGAATGTGAACTTAAAACTCAACTTGTATGTGAAGAAACAAAAATGAGAAATCTTGTTAAGTGGTAGATTGGATCAATTGGAAGATTGAGAGAGAACACAAAGTTAGTTTACAGAGTTAGCCAGGCAACTTTCCTGCGTGGGGGGAGTAATTTGGACTTTTTTGGGATGTCATTTATCTTTCTGTTGCATATACCTTGTGGTGGATGATCTTAATGTTGGGCTCTTGCAATTATCTTTGGATTTTCTTTCAATAATCTGTTTTCAATTTTTTAAACAGCTGCTGAATCAGATTTACTTAAAGTGGCTGAGGGAAATTTGGAATTCCAGAAAGTTGCTCAGGATAGGATTCGAAAAAGATTGTCTGATAAGATGTATGGTTTACATTCAAACTACTAGAGACCTCTTAGGCTTTACTGTGCACAGAATCATCTTGAAAATTTGTGCCTTAATATTGGATTATGAAACATTTTCTTGCTTAGTCGAAAACCCTTTTGAAGTCTTCAGTGTGTAAGATGGACAAGTATGAATCCATGGTTTGAAATTATTGTTGTTTGACTCTCACTACAGTGACATATTTTGAAATTATATTTAATGGAGTGGACTCTGTAAACTTACTCTAAAGACCGAGTGCAAATATGTTTGCTTTATTCCCTCCGTCTCAAAATATAAGGCGCGATTTGACTTGGTGCGGTCTTCAAAAACATATTTTGACCTATAATTTCTCTTATAATTTATAATTTATAGGAACAAAAGATTGATCATTACTTTATTAGGAAGTATTTCTAAATACAAATCTAATTTAACTACTTTTGTAGTATAAACTTTTCATATGATTGGGCTAATTGTTAGTCAAAGATAACAAAGTTTGAATTTTGAAATACATGCAGGCCTTATATTTCAGGATGGAGATGGTAGTTGTATGTATTGTCTGACTGTTGATGTTCTGTGTCGTCAGGGAAAAATTCATCAATGAATCTATGGGGTTTCAAGCCAATATGCTCAGAAGTTCGAGTGAGGATTTAGTTCTCTTACTGAATGAAAAAAGTTCACTGGAGGATGAAAGTGCGAAATTGAAAATGAAGATAAACACTATACATAGTTCATCCAAGGAATACATTGCAGAGGTTCTTGAGGAAGTAAATACAGAAAATTCAGGTTAGTGGTAAAAGTTTTTTTTAACCTGAAAAGTAAGACTTTGTTATTTACATTCCAGTTTATTTTACTGATGCATTTTGTTTGTGTCCAACATTCTGCTATATGTTAGTTGTATTTCTTTCATTTCATTCAATTGTGGTCACCAGCTTCTTACCAAGTGATCCATTTTTTGGTCATCTGATAATTTGAGTGTGCAATATTTTGAACTTTTCTGGAATTTCTATGACTTCATCTGTGCCTTTTAGTTATTATAAGATATCTAGGGTGAGATGTGATAACCATCTAAATATATTTGATCTGTTGTCTAGTTATTGTGGCTCAGAATTTATTGTTTCAGTTTCATGGGACTTAATCACTTATACTACCAATCAATCTTCTTGTCTGAGGAGAGAACAAAAGGTTATTAAACTTGTGTCCTATTCTGTGCACAAATCTAGCTCTTGTTTAGTTCCTCCAAACTCCTGAAAAGTGCACTATGCAAAAAGAAGATTCCCTGTCACATCAAACTTGCGGTACATGCATGGAGTACTAAATGTAGACGAAATCAAAAACTAATTGCACAGTTTGCTTTAACTTTGCGAGACGAATCTTTTGAGCCTAATTAGTCAATGTTTGGACAATAATTCACAAATACAAACGAAATGCTACAGTAGGGAATCTTCACTATGCAAAGTTTGCCTGCGCAAACTTTGCCCAACTAAACACCCCCCTAGTGAAGTTCATATATGTTCACTAGTTCATAGACGAAATAGCTGGTTATTTGACTATGAACTGTAGTTATCTTACTTGTTCTCATAAAATTCTGATTTTTTTACCGCTAAGTCGCTAACAACTTACCAAATCCGAATCCTTAACCTTGGAACTGAATTTCACGTTTCTGTTTTTTCCCTACCCTTGTGTCAAGGTTCACCTGATTTGTTCTCGCAAAAAGTATGGCCAAACTCATTTGACTAAGAGGGGTTTCAGATTTTCCTTTGGGGGTCATTATATTATACCCTGTAGTCAGAATATAGATCCTATGCACACACTGTTGCTTGGATTCTACTTGATCATGACACGAGCCACCAAGGTTGTTGATATTATTCAACCGAACATCATGACGTCTAACTAGTACATCTATGGTCGAAAGGTGAGGAAGTCTTAATTGGATTTCCCCTCTAGGTAGTCTGAAGGTTTGTAGCAGCTCTGAAGCCCTGGCTCATGAAGCCCTGGCTCCATATTTCAGTCAATATGCTGCTGGCTAGTTCGGCAGCTGTGAGGCTCCAGTAGGATTGGGCAAGCCATCTGGGTGACTGGGTGAGGAGAGTGAACTTAGTAAAATGCTATGGATCTGGCAGGCCGATGATTACACTTTGGTCATTTGTTTGTTCAATGTAGCCGCTTGTCAGATGGCAAGAAGAATGAGGATTCATAGATGTCCCCGGTAGCAGGAAGATACTGGTATGCTTTGATGGTGAATTGGTCTCTGGGACAAGAAGCTTTAGTCATGGTCTCATGGAGCTTTGCCAACATAGTGAAAGATGGTAAAGCTGAAGGGGAAGGAAAATGTGGAGTGCATAATTTATAGGTCAAGCAAAGAAATTAAACTTTCCATAGCGGCAAAAAAAGTTACATATTTTTTCAACTACAAATAAACTATATGACGTGTGCACCTACAGTGCTCCATCCTTGTGTACTCTACATTTGGTCTGTTAATAACTTGCCATTCAAGTCAACACCTGCAAATTACATTTGACAACCTAAAGTTTAGCCTCATGTGTTCTTTACTGCTGCAGTTCTGGAGTCTGAGCTACGGTACATGATTTTGGAATATAAGGATGTTCAAAAGGATATAAACAACCTGAAGGTTCTGTTTAGTTCAAGCAATTCATAGGACAGGTTCGCGTCACTGCAGGTACATTTAATCTGGCTTGGCAACTGGCCTTGGAGCAGAGCGCCCTAATTTTTTGTTTGATTGTGATTTTTCTTATTGAGGTAACCTACCTGTAATGACGAAAATACATTGGCCCTGTTCGCTTCTCTTATAATCTGTCTTTTTCAGCTTGTTTTTTTTAGCCGGAACAATGTTTTTCTCTCACAACAAATCAGCCGGAACAGTATTTTGGCTTAGTTTTTTCAGCGAAGCGAGCGGGCCAAGATTGCTACTGACATCAAGATGACTGGAATAAATGCTAAATTCTTCGCTCTTCGGTAGCTTGATAGGAACTGTACAGGCTTAATTTATGGGACCTTAAACAAGAGTCTTTCTTTGGACAGCGAAGGCTTGATTTTCCATCACTAAACTATGTCGTGTTACTGTTATGTTGTACTTTGCCTGTTGGAGTTTAATAATCTACATAAGAACCTTGGTATGCTTAAAACTTTATCTGTTTCACTTTGTTTGCTGTGCAGCTCATGATCTTGCCTGATACTGATAAATTTGCTTGTAAACCTGTGATTTGTTGAGCTTGGGATTTCTTGCATTTCTAAGGGACAGGCATGCATGTTTGATTTTGTTTTGAAACCTATTGTGAAAATAAGCATGTGGGCAGGCGTTGGACCAAGCACCTGATTTCAACCAAAGCTTGGCGCCTGCTAGCAGTAGCAGCTTGATTGTACACTTGTGGTGAGTGGTGACCAAACCATCTTCATGCGTTCGGTTCAGTCAGGGCTAGACAACATTTGGCACCTGAAGCATGGAGTCCCCTCCACTCCCCTTGTCTGAATCATGGCGGGTCTGGACCGGCAGAATGCTAGCTGCGTCCCCAGTTCTGAAGCGGCACGGCGGCACCATCATTGAGTGTCGGGAAGATGGTTGGCATGCCCCAAACACAGTCAGCCAAATGCAGCACTGCTGCTTCCTGCAAATCCTGCATCGATCCCCCAGGTGCAGACAAGAAGGGAACATGCGAAGGCACAGCAGCAGCAGGCGGCCCAGGCACGTCGCACGCGCCCGTCCGTTAGCGTTGAGCGCTGAGCGTTGGCGACCCCTGGGCCGGAATCGAGTTTCTTGTAGCTTTTCATCAATCAGCCGCACTGCCAGACGCGAGGAGAAAGTGCGCCACTGCGCCGATGCGGTACTAGCCGCCGCGGAAGGTGCTTTCTGCAGTCCTAACTTCGCCGTGAAAATCAGTCTCAGGTTGGGTGGGCGAGAAAACGGCGAAGGCCTTAAATCTAGGGCGTAAAGGCCAGGAGTGTCCATCGGTTGTTATATAGGGATGTCGTATATGGTATTGGGATACTAATAAATAAATAAATTATAGAATCCATCAGTAATCCACTAGACGAATTTATTAAGCCTAATTAATCCGTCATTAACGTATGTGTTATTATAGCACCACGTTGTCAAATCATGAACTAATTAGGCTTAAAAGATTTGTGTCGTAAATTAGTCGTAAACTGTATAATTAGTTATTTTTTTAGTCTATATTTAATATTCTGTATATGTGTCAAAATATTCGTTGAGACAGAGAATAAACTCTATTGGCGAAAAACTAAACATGGCCGAAGTCGAGCGAGTTCCGCAACCTCTCTCTGGAAGAGTCGAAAAGACATCTCCCATGGCCACCCATCAGCCTCAGGCTCATCCACGCCCACGTACTCGGCCGTAGTAGTATGCCGGTGAACATTCGGGCATCACACTCCCGTGATCAGCTGTTCAGCACCAAGTTAACTACATTCTGCACTGCCCGTCTTATCTTATGACACCGATTTTCTGGCTCTTGAACATGCAAGCAGCAACACTGGTCCATTGTTACTCACGACTAAGGCTGTGTTTGGAAAGTACGGAGTACTTTTGCTGTCAAGATAAAGACCGCCAAAGCTCCACTCTGTTCGGCTAATGGTTCTGTGGCTAATAAGCTAGCTGATACTGTTTTGCTGTGAGAGTAAAATACTATACCACAGTGGATAAGCAAGACTTAGTTCAAGCGAACAAGGTTTCATATAGTTATGCGTAGTATAATTTTCGTATTTTAGATCTTTTTTTTAAATAGGTGAAAATAGAGAAATGTTTCGTATCTGTTTCGAGAGAGATGCAAAGAGTAAGTTACAGAATGGGAAGGCAATCAACCTGTTCGCTGTTTGGTTTCTAGGCTAATAAAATCGACTAATGCTGGTTTATTATGAGACACTATTGGCTAGTTGATAAGCGCTGACTGAAACCAACAAGCGATCAGACTGAATATGTACACCGGTGTGCGCGGTGCCATTGGTTGAACCATATCGATTGCAACCAAACACACAAAGCAAGCTAGCACCGGTAGCAATGAGCTATCGAAGCAAGTGGTGTTTTACTTTAAATGTGCTATTAACAGGCGATTAGACTCGCCTCTACTAAACGTAGCTGTCTTCAGGTTCGGCGGACGGCGGTCAGATCTATCCGCCGCCAAATCATTGCAGCTAGGATCGCTGGAGTGGACTTCCGGCGCTCCCAAGCGCCAAATTCCTAACTTTTTGCCGATCGTTTCACGCAATGTGCGGGCGCGCGCACGGGTAGCCTGTTCTCGGACACTTACTTCTACGTATGCACGTATTTGGCAGAATCGTCCGAAATAACGTATTTTTAGACACTAAGTACTTTAAAAGTGAGCTACATCGGATAATTTCGTCGAGCAAACCCTAAAAAAGAACTCGAAACAATCCACATTTTGCATCTAGAATCCAATAATAAGTACAAGCTTATAATACTTAGTCAATTTCATATGACAAGAGTTTTTAAAAATTATTTATTACAATACCAGAATTCAGAGTGCGATAATTAAACAACGAAATAAAAATAAACATCTAGCGAAAACGATACAGGGACCCGTCTGTGCCCACCAGAAGAATCCTCCACACAAGAGTTACTCCTCAAGCTGCACTTGCAATAGAGGTAAAATAAATTCTAAGTACACAATATACTCCCAAGACTTACCCGACTAGTGGGAATAAGCTTCCCAACTCTCAAAGATATGATAGGTAATTGGGTTTGTTGTTTTCTTTTTATTTGCGAAAAGCATTACTAGAAGTACATCCTTTAAGACCAAGTTTTTTAGCAGTCATGATTATTGCATTGGCTAACCATTCTAGGTAAGCACTTGTTCTACTTTCAAGTAAGGGTTAAGCAATCAGAATCATTTCATCATCTTTCATCTTTCAGTTCTTACTATGGTGCTAGACCATAGCCAAGTCGTACCATCTCATAGAAACGATGATTCACGAATCAATATATCCCAGCTAGTTACCCCGAACCACACATCCCATTTGTACCCCAGGCACAAACAAGACCAACCCATTCCACTTCTGTCACATGGTCCAGGTTCTCGTTCAAACTTGGACACCAAGCCCCCACACTTAAGACCCGGTCTCAGTATGGTGCTTAGATATCCACATTTCCCTGCCTCCAATCAGTCGGTCCGGAAATAGCCGGAACCCACGACAAGAGCGTAACGAGCCTCCCGCTCTCATAAGCAAGTATGTGCTCAGGATAATAAGTCTGTGACCTGAGTACCATCCACAGCACCGGACGGTCCTTAATCGACTACGAACGAAAACAGTGTAACCAAGCTAAACCCCATTGACCGCGAGACACAACCTGTTACACCCACCAATACTCATACCATATCCCTGCCCTGTCTCCATTTTTCCTTTCATTATTTTATTATGAGAGTAATAATAATCCCCTATTGTGAGCAACGGCAGGTTACTCACGCTACCGATGACCTAAGCATAGCTTCTACTCGAATCTGCACTAGTAAGACTCTTAAGACAGGTATATCTATGCATGTGGTTTCCATAAAATTTCTGTAATGTAAATGCACACACACATATATATATATATATATATATATATATATATATATATACACGGTGAATTATAAAATAGAGGTTATGCACCGGGGCTTGCCTTGGGCAGGCGCGATGTCAGCTGAGTTAGTCAGTGGCGGCTCCGGGACCTCCTCCTGCATGAGAATCTCCTCCTCGTACTCCTCGACGATCTCCTCGAACTCGTGATCACCGATGGTCACGATCTTCGCCAACTCGTTCTCTACATGCATACGATGATGATGCAACACTTAGCATTTAGGCAACAACAACGCTTAAACTAAGAATACGCATACTAAGCTACTAAGCTAGCTCTAATGACTAAGGTACTAAGCTAACTATCATCTTTACCAAGCAAAGTGTTGGATTCAACTAAGAAACACCTAGCTTTATAAATGAAGAATATATCTTTATTTCTACTAATGATTTAATGTATATTGAAACAAAGAGCATTTAACTACCCTAATGATTAGTCTATTCTAAAGCTACAAAAATTACAATGAGCACATAATAATACAATGAAGCTACCATAAAAATTTCAGGACTAAAGCTATCACTAATTTGCCAATAAATTTCTACAATGATTCATTTTAATAATATGAAGCACTTTCAAATGATTTAATAGCTCCTGATATCAACATGTATATATATGAACTAAATACACTAACAGATAGATAATAATTTTAGAGACTTAACAAATTTTGTTTCACAATTTTTAGACACATACATGATTTTTTATTAATTATCAAAGATCAGTTCAGAAATTAAATTAGAAAACCATTCACATATTCCTAGAAAAAGAAAAACCAATCTCCCGTGCGGCCGACACGCGCGGCCCACGCGACGCGGAGCGCACGCACGCAGCGGCCCGCTTCCGTGGCCCACGCGAGGCTAGACCATGACGGAGAAGCTCGCGCGCGCTGGTGCTTTTGCAGAAACACCCCAGTACTATCCTCTATTAACACAACGACTATGCACACTATTTCTATAGACAACGTTTGTGCAAGAAGGCCCTCGTATTAACCCGTCTTTGCATCGGGGAGGTCCCCGACGCCTCCGTGCTCGCCGGTGCGGCATTGACCGGCACTA